ATGGTAAGTCCGTGGCACGTAAGCACGTCCCACTAATGTCCGCAACGTGGCCGTATTGTTACCTGACTTAGACTGCTTTCTATCTACCCCACTTGCTCTGTCTGCATCCAATCGTGAGGTGAAGGCAAGATGAAGGCAGACGAACGCGTGCTCCGTAACTGTTGTGCAGACTGACGTCATACGTAATCGTCCCAATTGTGCTGACCACAACGTCTACGCCAAGCCCTCTTCAAATGGGCAGGGTTTTAATCGGACATTACAGTTGTGCAGTACGAGTTTATGGCTAATGTGTCGTTCAACGTTCACTTCGTTTTTCTATTATATATCACTCCAGTTAATGGCGTCTATTGGACAATTGCACGCGCTTTACGGATAGATTATGAAAGCTTTTGTAAATAGCTACTACATCTGTTTCAGTAGGCATTTTAGTGTATTTCGCTTGCCGCTGGTCACTGGTTATCTGTTGCGATGAACGGTCAAAGTAACCAGCCTAGGCCAATACGTCACTGCATCTTCGGGCTTTGTGATCGAGAATGAATCGATATATCTTATAATATAATTGTAAAGGAAAGATGCAGTAAGAAGCAGGAAGATGGAGGTATTGTTAAAAATAAAAATTTTTAATTACATCGCATTGACTAAAATATGCTATTTTTACGAAGAAAACGAAGATAGAATTGAATCCAGCTCGTCCTACACTGAGATGCGAACAATCAGCTTATAAAGAAATGCCTCTTTCAATAAAGTTTTCTATTTAAAACTCCATGTGAGTTGCGTTTTGGTGGTTAAAAGGCTGTTTGGAGGAGCCTCTACAAACAGTGTTCGGGTCTTGACGTCGTGAGTGAAGGCAAAACGCTGCTGGTTCAGGCTAACTGTCCTTGGTCGCTTGGATATTCCGACGATCTTGATGAAAGCCAGCGGCACCTCGGAATGCAGCAGCTTGTCCTCAGACTGCAGTCGGACAACCCTTGGCAGTATGGTTAACTTTCGGAAAGCCACACTGAAAGTGATATAAGTATACGCCTGCGTTTCAGTAACACCATCGTCCCAGAAGAACTCCCCCCAAGCGGTAGCTGCGTACCTGCTCCACGGATATCCACTGTCTTCTTCCTTCAAGACAACCAAAATACCAATTCCTTTTTCTCGCGCCTGATTTATGGTTTGTGTAGGTAGATGCATTGGCAGTACACAACCTGCTTTCACGTGCAAAGGGATCTGTTCCAGTGGCGCTTCAAAGTAGAACCATTCGCCTTTGCTTTTGTGGCGTAAGTGATCATTCAGACCGATCCATTCACCCTGCGGAAGGTAACCATATATGCCTCTCGCGCCCTGTTCCAACACGGGTGTGATCAGAAGACATGAACCCCAGAGAAACTGTTTGTCAATCGAATGGCACGCCAGATCCTTGGGGTACTCGAGGGCTAATGCCCGCGCAACAGTCCTCCCGTCTAATTTTGCTCTGTAGAGGAGGCTATATAGGTAGGGTATCAGGCTATAGCGGAGCTTTATGGCTTCCCGAA